CTGCTCCCGCGGTGTAGTCACGCACGGCCGAGTCTGGTTCTTTTCTCTTTGGTCAGAACCTACAGCGCCAGGAAGGCGAGGAGAAGACCCAGTCCGGGAGGGAAACGGAGCAGGAGCTCCAGCCAACACCCGATGAGGTCCCTGGAAGCACAGCCAGCGGGAGGAAGGACAGTAAACGCAGCGCGGCTCATCCGTCTGCTCCTGACGCTGGTGCCGATGCAGAGAAAACAGGCTGGGAGGACTCTCAGGATGATGTTCTGAAATACGTCAGGGAGATTTTCTTCAGCTAACGTGCCCTCTGCGGTTTCCCAGGACCAAAGGGGACAGTGGAGAGAGTGTCCCCTCCTGCAGCACTGAGGATGGTGGGAGGAGGGCCTGGAGGGAGCTGTGTATCTGCCATGATGGTGGCTTATGGAGCTGGTAGGAGGCCCATGAAGGCCATGGGGGAGGAGGAATGGGGCACTCACTTCTCCCAGTGTGTGCTGGGTTCAGTGGGTTTTGACTCCAGATTAGGTTATGTTCATTTTTGTTTGGTATCTCAGAGCATGGACAGATAAAAGAGGACATTTGGATTTCTGTAAATGTCCCTTTGGTGGGTCAGTGTTTTGACTGGAGGGGAGCAGAGAGTTGCTGGCCCTAGAAGGCGTTTGCTGGCTCTGTGGAGCCAGATGGTCGTGGTTCACCCTTGGCGCTTCCTTGTCCTTGTGTCTCAGTGACAGCTGCAGTGGGGCCCAGCAGGCTCTCCCCATTGGACTTGATGCTCAATTAGCCTCCAGGCTGAGCAGGTCTCCCACAGCTGGGAAGACATGGGTGGGAGCAGACTGGCAAAGGCAGAAACCACCCTGAGGGGACTGATGCCATGGTAGAAGGGATGAAGATGGATCAGAGCCCTCTTCCTGGTCTGAAGTGGGGATGAACAAACCACATGAAGCTGGGGCAGGTGCAAGAACCTTTATTGAAATGAAAAATCATACAAACCAGTATCCTCAACCACAAGCCCACTAAGATTGCAACAGAAGAAATGAACTGTTGTCCCAGAAGGGGATGGGAGAGAAGGCTGGTGCTATTTTGTGCGAGGTTACAGACATTGCAGGAAGCAGTGCTCAGTGCTGTCGTGGCAGAGGGACAACATCCAGTGCTCTGGCTGTGATGGCCCAGCGATGACTGCACCCTGGCCTTTGGCAGCCCTGGTCCTGCTCCCCAAGCACACCGTTGCATGGGGTGTGCATTGGTTTGAGCTAGTTTTGCAGTGAGCTCTCTTCACACAGAACCAGTTCTAGAGTCTGAGAGGCTGCTGCAGTGCTGGGCTCAGCCCTGTAATATCAGTGAGCTCAAACCTGGGGCTCTGCGCCAAAATCCTCTCCTTGTGGAAATCCTTCTTGTTAGGGCTGTGTTCAGCAAGTGGTTAGACTGCACCTCTGTTGGTGCGGGATTCACGGACACTGCTGACGATCAATGTGATCAAGCAAATGCCGCTATATTGCAAGCAGACACACATATTTATCCGTCTTAGCAAGAAGCACTATTTATGGGTTACAAACAAGAGACCAGACTATGCAGCCAGGGTTGTTACTAGCTCATGTACTCCTTCAATCACTCTCTTATCACACAGGGAGAACAGATTTTCCCAGGTCTGTTTTGATCATACTCTCCCATTCACTCCCAGGCACATCTTGTGTACGAGAAGCCTCTTATCTGTCCATTCTCACAGACAAACCCCCAACATGAGCTGTACTCAGCTGGTCAGAGTCTCTTTTCATAATTGGCAAGCAAGAGTTACGTACTTGTTTAGAAAAGAAAGTCTTAATTCCGCAACGCAGTGCTGCCAGCACAGCTAGCTGTAAAACGTATCCACACACCTTCAGTTGATTTGCTGTTGCTGGGATTGGGTGTGGGCCACTTCACCCTAACAAACTAAAGCAGAGTCACTCTAGGTACGATTCCAGGAGGTGAAGCACAGATGCTTCTACTGAAGAGAGTATTTCCAGTGTACTTCTGGGGCTGCCACTCCTGTGATGGCAGCATGAAGCCACAGCTTCTCTAGTCACAATTGCCCTGAAAGCAACTCTGGTTAGTCCAGGAGGTGGAGAAGGAGCAGAGTCTTTTTGGGCAACTTCAAGAAAACCTGTTTGCTTCTCTGCCTGCCTCTACTTAGGCTAAATATGGCCTGGGGACTTTGCCCACAGTGCGGTGTTTCACTGTCCTCTGGCCAAGGGCTAGAAATACTATTGCTTTGATGCTGTACCCCAGGCTGAGGGCTGTGGTACTGCTGTTCCTGGGAAGCTTCCATGCTGTGCTGTGGGTGTTAGTTTCTGCTGCCTGCTCATTGCAGGAGCACACAGCTGTATGCTAGAGCATGACTTGACATGGGCCTTTGGACTAAGGATTAAATTTCTGCTAGTGACTAAAGCTATGGTGGGATTACTATTTTAAGTCAGGTTATCAATAGCTTGTGTCTTCACTGTCAAATCTTAATGGGCAGAGCCCCCTCATTAAAAAGGCCTTCATATGGGTGTGCATGCTTGGCCCATCTGAGGTACATAGTGACAGTGAGAATCAGGAGCAGTAGAAGAGCCTGAGTCCCAAGCAGTGCTGTGAAGCCCCAAGTGAAATCAGAGGGGTGAATCCACTGCGAGGTTTCGAAAAGAAATGTACCCAGGCCTACAGTCAGCATTATTATCTGGATGGTGAGTACGATGAGAATCACCTTCCAGCCCTCTCTCTTCTCTGTGCACTTCACATATGCAAAAAAAATAGGGTAGAAGATGCTGAGGACCAGGGAGGCATACACACAAATTGTTGCTAGCACCATTCCCACTAGGCTGATGCCCATCACCTGCAGATGCTTGTACTGCAGGCACTGCAGCTCCCTATCAGTCTTATTCCACAGGCAGAAGTTGAAAAAGCCAATGCGTTTGTCGGGGAGGTCAACCAGGTTCCCGGCTTCCCAGTACAGTGCATAGAACATCAAGGCCAGGACCCCGGCAGCCTTGAGGAAGATCAGCGCAAGGAATAGGTGCCTGGTGCACCTCTGTAGCAGCAGACCCATCTTGGTGCACGCTTGCTCTGTTGATACCATGGTAAAGCCTTCTGTGGTGATGGCTGCTGTAAAACATGAAGGGGTGAACCCCTTGGCTGTTACGTGTTATGGCACTTTTCCCAAAATGTGCCTGTGTCACTGAGGTCTCAGCACTCCTTGTAAGCAGAGCAGGAGTGCCTTAGTCCTGCATTTGACCCTGCTGCACACGTGTTACTGCATCGAGGGGGATGTGTTTTGGTCACAGCAAAGGTGGTTTAATGGTATCCTCTGTGTGGACCAGCACAATATGGCTCCCTTAGCCCCACACATGCACTTTGCAACATAGTCTTGTAGGGCTAGAATCTTAGAATGCAGTGAGTTGGAAGGGACCTTTAAAGGTCATCTAGTCCAACCTCCCTGCAGTAGGCAGGGCCATCGTTAACAAGAGAGGCATTTGTCAGTAAACTGCAGTGATGGGAAGGGAGAAAAACGCTGCTGTCTGGTAATTAGAGGGTTAAGTACTATTCTGGGAAAATGATTTTCTTTCAGTTCCGATCAGATGACGTCCCTTGTGATCTTTGGACTACCAAATGCACCTCCTGGCTTCTCACCCCCTCTACCCCCTGCCACCAGTTCAGGGACACCCGATGCCATCGGTGCCGCTCGTTTCCAGCACGCACGTGTCGCTGAAGCTCTCGCATGCCCGTTTGTTCCTGGGCACAGTAGGGCCGATCGGCTGCCGCCCCGCTCCCCTCTGAGGCTGTCGGACAGGGTGCTCCACGGCAGCTGTCTTTTTTTTGCCCCAGACTCACCTGCAGCCGCTCCTCTCCTCTGAGGCCAGTGTAGATGGATGTAGAGGACTCCGCGTTCCTCTCCCAGAAATGTGCACTGTCCTCAGTGCGCTCTTGCAAGCTTCTGCTTTGCGCTGAAAAATAGGCAAGTGGCATCAGGAAAGGGTATGGCTGGCTGCAGAGCCATGAGGTATTGCAACACTGGCTACCTAGGTCTGCGCAGAGGCACAAAAACAGGGCAAGGAGCTCAGAGACGTTGGCTTCAAGCTCAGCCTCTGGCTGGAGGCTCTGCAAATAACTCCTTTCCTGCTTTTGCCAAGCATTATCTCCTGTGAATCATTTACTGCCTTCCCTCAAGAAATTCACAGTGTCAGTCTTGCTGTCTCCCCTCCACTGCCTACTGTCCAACTGTATATCATCCCAATGTCTTGGATGTCCCAGGCTATCATCCCTCACTGCTTGTGAATTTGGTACATCCTCTGAGTTTGCAGGAGAGACTCCATTCAGATGCACCTTGTGCCTGGCTGCAGTGCTCGTGACCAGAGACCCTCCAGCTTTCCCCCACGCACCATCTATCTCCCTCAGTACTTGGGAGTGGGACACTTGTGTTTAATAGGAACAGTGATAAAGCTTCTCTGTCCCAAACTTCTCCCCCTCCACACAGTCATAACCAGGAGGAGCACACTCAGCATGGAAGGGGATCACACTGACCTATCCCCTTCCTGTAGTCAACACCTCACTTCTTGTAGCTTTGCTTGGAGGTCTTCTTCCCAACATGCTTCTGGAGAGACTGGAAGGTCACATGGAGGACGCCCATTGTTCTGAATCTACAATGAAAACACAAATGACCAGGAAAATATCCACACTCAGGCCCAGAACACATAGCAGAGTAAGACTTTATGCACATGTGATGCTACACATGGAGGGAACTCTTGGTTAGCTGATGAGCTCCTTGGGGATTTCTGTCAGAACTTCGAGCTGGGACTAGTACAGCACAGCTGACTCCTGGCGCTGCCCACCTATCAATGCTTGCTGCCATATTTCTTTAGACAACACTTCCTAAGGAACGAAGGCTTGTAGAAACATGGCGGTTTTTTTTCCAATCATCTCATGTTACCTCTTATTTACCCCTTCCACCTCCACAAATTATAAAAGCAATTAAAAATTGTCCTAGTTGCACATGGTTACTAGTGAGGGGACGAGAGTTGAATTCCTAGCAGGTTCATGGAAATATGCAGCCTAGGTGAACAAGAGCCACCTCAGAGACCCTGTTTTCCTGTGTGACCTTTGCACGTATGAGGGCCCAGAGAAATCCCATGGTATCTGTGCCCTGTCCTGTGCTTTGATGCTCATGTGTGTAAGGACCTATGTTCTTTTCCCAGTGATGCCCGTCTGTTCATTATGCCAAATTGCAGGCATATTTTCCCCTCAGCCTCCTGCTGCCTCCCTCGCCCAGCTGCAATGGGAAAATCCCTGTCTCCAGCGTGACTGTGACAGAAACAGAAACGCGCCTGGTGTGGGTGCCGTGTGCCAGTTGGGGCAGAAAACTTGCAGCTGGCCTGCAGCCAGTGCACTGTTTCACAATGCAAGTTGTGACTTGGTGGTGCCTTGCCATCAGCACAGCTGCAGACACAGCATTCGTAAGCTCTACAGATTGTTGCTGAGGCTGGTTCAGAGATAGCCTGGCTGAGAAGCAGGGGACAAACAGGAAAAGGCTGTTGGACAGTGTCCAGCAGGGGTTTCTCTGAGACATCTGCAGCCCTTCCACCTCTAAGGAGACGCCTGTGCCTTTGGATGAAATAGTCTATGGCTTTACCTCAAAGGTACAAGAAAGAGGAACCTGAGCATGTCACAGTGAGCCCCAGCTTGGATTCAGCCTTGTTGGTTCTGGGCAGGCATTGCTGGAAGCACTAGATTTCACCATAAGCAGAGATGCTCTGTGCACATGGCTCAGGAACTCCCTGGAGTGTCTGTTTGCGAGATGGGGCTCATAGGGACCTTCTGTAATGCTGAGCCTGCATGAGGCAGGTGAGAACCTTCCCAGCCTTGTGAGCAGTGAGCTGCTGGCTGAGTGTCTGGGAAAAGGCAGCAGGACTGGAAGGTCAGGGCACACAGCTCCAGCGCAGGATTTAGGCTCTTCTCTGGGGACAAAAATCTCTGTGGAGCTTCCATGAGCTTCAGCCTGCTTCCATGAACAGGCATTTTCTCTCTCACTGAAGAGCCCCCCAAGAAGACTTGTCATTCCCCATCCAACCCTCCCTGGCTGCTGGGGAGCGTAATGTCACACAAGAGCAATGGGAAAGGAAGGCAGCTTTGAACTTGGCACCTTTCCCTCAAGCCACCTGCACCCCCCCAGAATCCCTCTTTATCCCTCCTTCCCAAGCAGGTTCAGCTGTGGGGGAACCACAGGTGAAGAAAAGCCTCTGACAAGCTATGGATTGCTGGCAAGCAGAAGCCAGCCAGCGGCACAGACCAGACTGTGGAGGAACCCTACCACAAGTGTGCCACAGCTGGGGAAGGACCTGCTCCCTCCCAGCCATTTGCGCTCTGCAGCACCACTTCTTCTCCTGGCAGCTCTCTGCTGCCAGTGGCATTAAGAAGGTGGGGAGCTGAGTAGAGAATACTTACAAGCTTCCCATCTGTCTAGGTGTGAAGCAGAAACACACTGGAGAGGGCTGAGGTGCTGCTCTGGCGAGCTGAGGTGGTCTGTGGCTGTTACCAGGTCCTTTGCTGCTCAAATTAAAATGCCACAGCCTCTGCTTTCTGTTTCGTTTTCCAGAGCTATGGGAGCAATGCTCCTCCCTGATGCTGCGTCATCTAGATACAAGCAAGAAAACAAGCCAAGCCCAGCCACGGCTGTTTGAACCTGGGGCAGATTTGCACTTTCTTCCCCTGGCTGTGCTAACTGACATGGATAACTGGGCTAAGGTCACTCGGGAAAGCTGTGCTACTAGAGTTGCTTGGCCGTGGGGGCTGAGATGAGTCTGGCCGTGGGGGCTGAAATGAGTTTGGCCGTGGGGGCTGAGATGAGTTTGTTTTGTTTGGACACTTCCGTAGAGGTGACTGACCATCCCAGTGCTGACCCTAGTTCCACAGCACTGCCAGAGTTCACTGATCACTCATGCCTTCTTTGCACTTTGAATGCTGCTCCCCTCCCTCTGCTTCTCAGACACAGCTTCTCCCCTGCTCCCCCTCGCCCACGGACACCGTGCCTACGCAGGCGCAGCACAAGAAGCAGCTAGCTGCCTGCTGCGATCAGAAACATGTGGAACCTCGAGTGATGTGAGAGGCAAAACTCTCCTTCCTTGAGTCTTACTGGCCATGCCCAGAACAATTTGTCCTGTTCTATAAGCAGCCTTGGTGGTGGTGGAGAGGTGTATGTTGGGGCAGGGGTGATACATGTGGGACACCTAGCCATGAAGCTGTTCACAAAGTCCTAACTAGTGACTCCACGTTTAGGCATGGTCCAGAAACCTCCAGGTGGTGCATAGGTTGTAAGCCTGTAATATTTGCACTCGCATCCCAGAGCACAAGGGAGGTGAAGAGGACATGCAGTAACAGGCACAGACTCAAACACAGAAAGTTCTATCTAAACACGAGGACAAACTTCTTTTCTTTGGGAGTGACAAAGCACTGGAACAGGCTGCCTGGGGAGGTGGTGGAATCTCCATCTCTGCAAACATTCAAAACCTGCTTGGACACCATCCTGTGCAACCTGCTCAAGGTGAACCTGATCTGGCATGAGCATTGGACTAGATGTTCTCCAGAGGTCCCTTCCAACCCCTAATGTCTTGTGATTCTGTGCTTCTGTGAAAGGAAATATGGGAGTGAGTCCTAAGAGAAGCTCACTAGATAGAGCCATCAGGTGGTGAGGAGTTGTCTTCCTATCTGACCTCTGTACCTGGAATAACTTCAGCATTGAAAAGGACAAGAATCTGGATTGAGAGGGTTCACATCACAGATAGCATAATCAGGGGTTATGGTGGGACAAATCAGAGGTGAGGGCAGAAGGCTTACAGCAATTAAAGCCTTGCAGGCTGTAGCTGCTGAGCTGAATGGTGGGAACACAGAAGAAAAGCTTTGGGGTGAATATCGCCATCATCTAACTTTGGGGCTGCTGGCTGAGAAATTGAGGTATAACAGAGAGCAAATGTGAGACCTCTGTTACAGTGAGGAAACATGCACTGGTGGGAAGCATGTTTCTGCTCTGAAGAGGGGCGGTTACGTGGTTTCGCCTCTTGCTGTCATTTTTGTGTCATTCAGGAGAGA